GGCTCCAACTCAAAAAAAAAAAAAAAAAAAAAAGATTCGAACTTGTCATCACCTACTTATTGTCACTTACCTTGGAAGGTAGCAAGTGGCCTAAGTTTTTTTGTTTTTTTGTTTTTGTTGGAGCCTAACTCCATTGCCCAGGCTGGAGTACAGTGGCACTCTCACGGCCACCACAGCCTCAACCTGCTGGACTCCAGCGATCCTTCCACCTCAGCCTTCCAAATAGCTGGAACTACAGATGTGCACTACCATGCCTGGCTAATTTTTAAAAATTTATTGTACAGACTACATCTTGCTGAGTTGCCCAGGCTGGTCTCGAACCCGCGGGCTCAAGCAATCCACTTGCCTCGGCCTTTCAGAGTGCTGGGATTACAGACTGAGCCACCGAGCCCGGCCTGCCTGAGTTTTGAAAGCAGACAACTCCTATTTGGATACCAGCTTTGGAAGTTATCAGCTTCCCATTTGTAAAATAGGGGTATCAATGCCTGCCTTGCTTAACAGATGTGAGAATTAAATGGAGCAAAACCTTATACAATCCTGTGTACCATGCCTTCCATAAAATGAATGCTTAATACACGCTAGTTGCTGCAGTGATAGGCAAAAATTCCAGTCTTCTTTCATTATGACACAGCATTTTCTTTTAGCTAGTATAGATTTCAGTCAAGAGTGTTTAAAATTGTTGGTGTTCATATGTCCTTACTTTTCTTAAAGTGGTATTCATTTATCATTCTTATCTGTACATAATATTTATAATATCTTTTGTTCGTATTGCTAATAGTTGGCATTCTGGGCAGTCATGGATTCTATAGTAATATTTCTATTAATGAAGAGGATTCGTTCTAATGGAATATATGATGTCAGAACCTGTGTGAACAGAGGTAGAAATAATAAACATTCCCCTTTTCGTTCCCCTACCTTGGTCATAGGTTCTGTCCTCTGCTCTAGATTAGATGACATCTGACTTTGTCTTAGGGTGGGAAAACCCCATCGTGTCTTAGGGTGGTTTGCTGCCTGGAAGCTCGCTACCATGTTTGACTAAGTCACCTCTTAACCACCCTTTAGTCATCAGTTAACAGCAGCCCTAGGAACCTTCTTCTCACAGGGAACCCGTGTCTTTTGCATAGATTTCTCTCTGAGATCACCATTTTTTTTTCAACTGGCAAGACCCCAAGCAGTAATGAGGAGGCCCGGCTTGGACCACCAGTTAGACAATTCTGTCAGTGGAGAGGTGAGCATGCCCTCATGACCACTGAAAAAAGCTTATTTATATACAAATGTACATTATTTTATATGTCGAAAATTTTCTAAGTTAAAAATGGAGACACACATGGCTGGTGGTATAGTAAACCTGTGTCACTTACCTGCCCAGGCTGTTCACACGCTGTCTGGTACCGGGCCTGCTGGCACAGTTCTTTAACCCTCTCGTATTTGGGCAAGTGATTTGACTGTTGAATATTCTTGCTGGATTCTTCTTTCTTACGTAGAAATTTGCTTTGACAGAAAGGGAAAAGCTTCTCATGTGAAAGGTGATTTGAATTACCGTTCCCAAGTCTTGCCTTTTTTCTTCCCTGTCACATTCTTTAAACAGGTAAAGATAGATGATAAGGCTTTGTCTACAGGAGTTCAACATTTGATGAGTCCCTTGTGGAAATTACAAACTGGATAGTATGAAGATGAGAGGTCAGGATAATCCCAAAAGCATTACTTTCAAAACATTGAGCAGAAAGGTTCAATCTTACATGCACAAAGTTCTTTTTGTTAAAAAGTTATCCAAATGTTTTTCTCTCTCTTAGTTTATATATGGATAAAAACAAAGCAATGAGCATTATGAATCAAAAGGGGAAACCCAGAATGACTATGGAAATACTTTCAGTGGTGTAAATTTATATATTTAAAACTAAAAAAGGCAGGTGAGAAAAGGAAGTAAAAATTAGGATGCCAGGCGAGCCATGAACACTACTTAGGGAAGAACTTGGAAAGAATGATTGAGAAAGTCAATCAACCAGTCTAGTTAGGAACCAACTCTGAGAAATGCTACAGTAAATCTATACCATGGTAAATGTTTTGGTCCTTTCTAATGAGAATTTATTCTTTTTTGGGGGGGGTGATGTCATCAGTCCCTTGTTTTTTTGATATTTTAAAAAATGGATATATCAGACTAGGCAGTGGCTCATGCCTATAATCTCAGCACTTTGGCCAAGGCAGTAAGATTACTTGAGCCCAGGAATTCGAAACCAGTCTAGGCAATATAGTGAGACCTCGGTTCTACAAAAAATAAAAAAATTAGCCAGGTGTGATGGAGCGTAGCTGTAAGTCCCAGCTACTAGGGAGGCTGAGGTGAAAGGATTGTTTGAGCTCAGGAGGTTGAGGCTGCAGAAAGCCATGATCTTGCTACTGCACTCCAGACTGGTGACAGAGTGAGACTCTGACTCAAAAAAAAAGGAGATATCATAGTTATACACAGTTTTGGGGTGCACGTGATATTTTGATACACGTATATAATATGTACTGATCGCCGGGCTCCGTGGCTCAGCCTGTAATCCCGCACCTTTGGGAGGCTGAGGTGAGTGGATTGCCTGAGCCCGCGGGTTCGAGACCCGCCTGGGCAGGGAGACCTCATCTCTACAATAAATCAAAAAATAAAACTAGCTGGGCGTGGTAGTGTGCGCCTGTAGTTCCAGCTACATGGAAGGCTGAGGCGGAAGGATCACTGGAGCCCAGCAGGTCGAGGCCGCGGTGGCCGGGAGCGGCCACTGCACTCCAGTCTGGGTGACAGAGTGAGACTCCAACTCAAAAAAAAAAAAATGTACTGATCAGATCAGGATAACTAGAATATCCATCACCTCAAACATTCATCTTTCCTTTGTGCTGGGGACATTACAATTCTTCTAGCTAGTTTGAAATGTGTAATAAATTACTGTTAACTATAACTTCCCTATGAGACTATCAAATACTGGAATTTATTTCTTCTCTCTAACTGTATTTTTGTACTCATTAGCCGACTTGAGAATGTATTCTTTACAATTCTAATGCAGCAATAATCACTCTGCTGGCCAGTAGAGAATAAGTAGCAAACCATTCAATCTTGTGACTAGGCTTACGAAATCTGCATGCTTAGTAAACAAAAATAAGGAGGGGAAAAAAAAAAAATACCCAGCAGGGAGAGCTGCCCACTAGGACTGGTTCCCAGAAACACCCCAGGAACCAATAATTACCCTCTTTCCACTAGGAATGTATCTCGCCAAATTTTGGCCTTCTTGTTTGTTCGAAACCTGAAAGCAAAATAATAATATTTACTGTTGGCATCTGGACGTTTTTCCAAATGGATCTGTGCTAACAGTTTATTTAAAGAAACACCTCTCACTTCCCAGAGACCACGGCTGCATCTCCATCAATGTGCTATTCACAAGCTGCTGAGAAATGCTCAGCTCTGGGAGATCTTCATGGCAAAACATATTTTGCCTCTACTTTTTTTCCATTGCTGGCCAGCTCTGGGCGCTGGCCAGAGCTCAGTGTGTCTGCGGCTGGCTGAGAAAAGGAATATTGACGCACCTGTTACCTGGCTTTTCCAGGTCCAAAAGTTTGAGGACAGACTTGCCATCCACATCAGGAGGTGTGTCGAGGCCAGCGATATCCAGGATCGTAGGGGCCAAGTCGATGTTGAGAACGATCTGTGGGATACTGCAAAGGGACAGGTGGTCAGGACCCAGATCCAACACCAGTGGAAGGTGGCATTTGGGACTGCTTTTTCCACAGCAGTGACTCATTGGCCTTCCACTCTTCTCACCCCCTCATCTGGTCTCCTCGGGATGAGTGGTTGCATTTGGCCAGGGTGGGACAGAGGTCACAGCAATGGCACCAAGCAAGATTAAATGACTCTCAAGGGGGTGAGTCTGGAGAGGTGCCCCACACCCCTGTGCTCTGCCCATACTTCCAGACAAGATGCAGCCTGATAGATGGTTTCTGTGACATGCATATTTTTGTTTAAAACCTGATCGTCCATAACTCCACTGTTGAACCGGGGCTTTACAATTAATATTCTAAAAAGGATGTGCAGTTTTTAGAGTTGAATTAAATTCATCCTACCTAGTTCTTCAAACATAAAGCGTTATAACTAACTATACATGTCAAAATCCTCAGGGTGCTTCTAATAATCGTAGGAGACATAGTAATATTCTTCAGAGAAAGTCTTACTCTTATCACCCTCTCCCCAGGATGTAGCATGATGTGGAAGCAGATAAGGTATAAGGACGAGACTCAGAATATCTGGATTCTGGGCCCCAGTGTCACCATTTCAGAAGCAGGAGCTCTGAGACAGGTACTGGCAACTGTCTGTCCAACTTCATTGTTACATCAGGGGTCCAGGCTAGATGCTTTTTAAATGGCTATTCCAGTTTTTGAATTCTACTTCCACTTTCTTTCTTTTTTTACTTTTTCCTTAACTCTTTCGTGTACACAGTCTCATTATTTATACACAGCATTTTGATATGATTGATTGGCAAGGCAAAGGAGACTCATTTTATGATGAGAGAATAGAGAGGGTTTCAGTGACCTGACTAAGGTGACAGAAATAGAACTCTAGTCCTTCAGGTCTATTTTTTTTTTCGAGTTGGAGTCTCACTCTGTCACCCAGACTGGAGTGCAGTGGCCGCTGCCAGCTACCGCAGCCTCTACTGCTGAGCTCCGGCGATCCTTCCGCCTCAGCCTTCCGAGTAGCTGGAATTACAGGCGCGCACTACCACGCCCGGCTGATTTTCGATTTATTGTAGAGATGAAGTCTTGCCAAGTTGCCCAGGCGGGTCTCGAACCCACGGGCTCAGACAATCCACTCACCTCGGCCTCCCAAGGTACGGGATTACAGGCTGAGCCACCGAGCCCGGCCTATTTTTTTTTTTTAATAAAGAAAAATCACACTTTAAAAAATTTAATTCTCTTTTAAAAAATTTCTTTAGTAATTTTTTTTTTTTAAGTCGGAGTCTCATTGTAACCCAGGCTGGAGTGCAATGGCACGCTCACAGTCACTGCAGCCTCGACCTGCTGGGCTCAGGTGATCCTTCCACCTCAGCCTTCCAAATAGCTGGAACCACAGATGTGTGCCACCACACCAGGCTAGTTTTTTGATTTATTGTAGAGATGAGGTTTCACCAAGTTGCCCAGGCTGGCCTCGAACCCTTGGACTCAGGCAGTCCTCTTGCCTCGACCTTTCAAAGTGTTGGGATTACAGGCATAAGCCACCATGTCCAGCTTAGTAATATTTTTTAAAAATTAAAATCTAACAGGATGACATTGGTTATTTTTATTTATTTATTTTTTTGAGTTGGAGTCTCACTCAGTCGTCCAGACTGGAGTGCAGTGGCCGCTCCTGGCCACCGCAGCCTCGCCTGCTGCGCTCTGGCGATCCTTTCGCCTCAGCCTTCCGAGTAGCCGGAATTACAGGCATGTGCTACCACGCCCGGCTGATTTTTTGATTTATTGTAGAGAGGAGGTCTCACCTGCCCAGGCGGGTCTCGAACCCACGGGCTCAGGCAATCCACTCACCTCAGCCTCCCAAAGTGCTGGAATTACAGGCTGAGCCACCGAGCCCAGCTTCATTGGTTATTTTTTAAAATGACAATATATCTCTGATTCAAAGAATATAAGGTTGATGTTCCAGAAGACCACATTCTGTGTACACAGGACAAAAAGACATGGATTCTGGTCAATTTGAGAGACTTAGTCATTGATACAATTATTTTTCCTTTCTCTTTAAATAGTGTACTTCAGCCAAATTAAGGGGGGAAATGTTTTCATCTTCTAAATGACCAATCTTCATACATTCTTTTTTGTTTTGGACAAAAGGAAACCAGACACTGAGATTGGTAACTGAATGATCTTAGACGCACATGAGGTATGACAATTGTATGTTGCAAACAGAGAAATACGTACACTGATCCTGGTTCTATACTTGGACCACGAACAAAGAAAGGCACACGAATATCAAAGTCATATGGCATGGATTTCCCTTTGACCAGTCCAAACTGCCCAATATGGTAACCGTGGTCAGCAGTGTAGATGATGTATGTATTCTCCAACTCTCCCATCTCCACGAGCATATTATATAACTGAAAGAAAGCACAGGGACAAGTCAGAACCAACTGTCATGGCATAAGGTGATGTGCAACATCGTTGCCACAATTTTCTTCAAATCTTTTTTCCATTACTTTGAAAAGGCAAGAATTGCTTTAATAACATTATTCACATTTTCTATTTGCTTACAGTCCTGGAGGGAAAAGGTTCAATGATACAGCTGAAACATAACTTTTTCAAATCTGGCACATTCTACTCACAGGTTTTGTTTGGTAGAACAAGAACAAAAGCACCCCGCAAGACAACCTCTACCACCAAATTTTATAGATTTTGCTTTGAAAATCCATTGTTAAAGCAAATTTCAGTATTATCACATATCTAATTGCCAAGGGTTAAAAACAAGCTACTTCTGCATCAGATCTAGCTAAATACAGCCTGGGACATATCTAGTTTGGCTTCTGCGGTGTTTAAAAATTCAGAAAATTTCAAATAAAAACTTTTGTATTTCCGGCTTCTTAGTCAGAAGACCTAATGATCCTTATTCTACATTTTTACACGGTAAGAATTAGCTGGAACTGAGTAGTTGCTGTTGTTTTAGAGAGAGCCCTTAATTTCAGGTTCCCCTCAGTCCCCATCTTTCCTTATTGCCTTTGAGGGTCCCTGATTTCTGATCATTGGATTTTTCTCTCCTCTTTGTCACTGGCTCCATAAGAACCAAGCCTGGAGAGGTAGACAGAAGGAGGACAAGACAAAGGAAGGATGGCTAAGTTATTGAACACTCTTTCTCTTTCTTAAAATAATGCTGGAAAATAAAGAAAAAAGAAAAACAGGAAAACCAGAACTGACAAGAATAAGTTCACAAAAAGGAAGTTGCACCACAATTATCACTGGGGTAGGTTCATGGGCTTACCCTTTCCACAGAATCATCCACTGACATCAAAGTCTGAAGTCTTTTGCGCTGTAGAATGTTTGTAAATTCCATGTGGATGGGCAGCATTGGTCCCGTGTACTGCATGATCCAGTGTTTATCCATATTTGGTGCATAGTTATAACTAGGAGTTCTGAAAACAGCCAGAAAGGAATCTTACTATAGATTTTTTACGTAGTCATTTAGAAAAATATGTCATGTTAAATGTTGTGAGTTAAAAATTTAGGAAAGATAATGAAGAAAAATATTTTTCTTTCCCAAGTGACTTCTCTTTGTGTTTATTATAAAAAGATCTGAAGGCATATAAATTCAAACTTCTAAAACCAAGACTGGCAGCTGAACATGTAATTAGTGTAGGCTCATTTGGGTTTGTTGAATAAAAATGTAAAAAACACATCAAAATGATTATCTTACAAATCTACAAAATCAGGAATGTAGAGGGGAATGTTCTTGTGTGATGCTCATTCATAAATCATTCATTAAAACTGTATTGCTAATGAGGCTATTAAACATAGTTGCAAATGTTATATGGAATGATGATGAATCATAATTTAACACTTTTTTCTCTTGAATTTCTTATTTTATTGATTATCTATATATCTAATCTTTATGAGTTTTATATACAGATACCATTAATTTAATTGAGTTTGTCAGAATTATAACCAAGTCTACTTCTGCAATATACGTGTTTATCAATAAAGCTATTCATTTAATAAACAAATCAATATGGATGTAGGGCATAATTTTTGTTAGCCACAGGGAAGCATGTCCTATTGTTCAAGGATAGGTTTGTCCAAGTCTACATTTAATCTATTGCAGACATCTAAGCGGTGCCCTATGTATTCCAGCGGGGACTCAAAAAGATGTCACTTTCTCTTTGAAGCCTCACTCAATACTTTGACCATTGGATGTTGCCGTCTCATACTCATAGGTACATAACATACCCATGCTAGAGCAATTCTCTCATGGACTTATTTGTTTATAGTTGAACTCTCTAACAGACCATAACTCACTCTTCTCCTTAAATGTTGTTAAGCAGTGGGGCGTGGTGACTCACGCCTATAATCCCAGTACTTTGGGAGGCTGAGGTGAGAGGATTGCCTGAGCCCGTGGGTTCGAGACCAACCCGGGCAACTTGGCGAGACCTCATCTCTACAATTAAAAAAAAAAAAAAAATTAGCCGGGCATGGTGGCACACGCCTGTAGATCCAGCTACCTGAAAGGATGAGGCAGAAGGATCGCCTGAGCCCAGCAGGTCGAGGCTGTGGTGGCCAGGAGCATACCACTGCCCTCCAGCCTGGGTGACACAGTGAGACTCCTACTCAAAAAAAAAGAAAACAAATGTTGTTAAGCACAGAGATTGTTTAATAATAAAAACTTAGTATTTACCACATGCCAAGTATTGTGCAAAGTGTTTTATATACATTCACTTAATTAATTGTCTCAGCTGTTCTGGGAAATAGGTTTATTATCTCCATTTTATAGCTGAGAAAAATCAAGCCTTAGCAAAGTTAAGTAACTTCTCCAGATTAACAACATTAGTAAGTGATACAGACAGGACTGAATTCCAAATCCCATTTGCTTTAACAAGATTAATCAGTGGAGTTGGGGGGCACTTCCTACATCTGAGATTACTTTTAATATGAGCCACAACTTTACAAATAGCTAGCTTCATAGAACAAGCAGCAGTCTATGCTGGTTGAGAAATGTGATCACCAGTCTGTTCTGGAAAGGATCTCATCAACGGAGGATTGTGAATGATGACTGAAGGTGACTTCGTTCCATTGTTTATATGACAAAACTAGAGAAAGAATCAGTCACTGTGAGCCCATTGATTTTCAAGAGTCTTGACCAAGCATTCCACTGGTTCTGCGGTGTGAATTTCCCCTGGGGAAGGCTTAGAGTTTCTGAGATACATGGTTGTTAACTGTGAGACTGCCACACACACTGGGTTGTATGAATGTCACCCGTAATTATAGTTTCTTCTGCCAGTGGATTTGTAGAACCTCTTTTGATAGCAGAAAATCCTAGTTTGGGACCATAGGCCTTGTTGGTACACAAAGTTACCCTGATGATCAGTATGGATGCTGGCTGCCTGTCAGAAGCACAGAAGCACGGATTCCAATATAACATTTAGCTTAGAAGACACTGTCTCCAAAAGTGCACAAGGTATGCTCAGAAGTGTAAGTAAACTTTCTTTTTTTTTTTGAGTTGGAGTCTCACTCGGTCGCCCAGTCTGGAGTGCAGTGGCCGCTCCCAGCCACCGCAGCCTCGACCTGCTGGGCTTCACGATCCTTTCCGCCTCAGCCTTCCAAGTAGCCGGAATACG